GCATGGGTATTCCAGGGTTTGTTTTTTCTATTCACTAGTTGATAGTCATTTAGATTGTTGCCCATTTGTGGCGATTGTCTATCATGCTGTATAGTACTTATTTTTAATGAGACATTGAAGAACTTGTGAACTGTATGCCTCCTTCCTGCAGCTGTAAGGCTGCAAGCATCGACGCCCTGCTTAGTCACGTAGCCTCGTACATAGCAAATGCCTACTACAGAGTAGGTGCTCAGTATGCATTTGCTAAATGAACGAATGATAATTAACTCCATGTTGATGTCCATAAATCTCTTCTTAAAGATCAGAGGGCCATTCAGGAAATGAGAGAAGGGTGAGTTTCTAATTTGGGGATAACATCAGCTCTAGGTGACATCATCTTTTTAACCTGCCTGCAGTTCTCCCCTTTATAGCTACTGAGGAAATATTAAGGGTGGGAAGAGTCCACATTCCCTGAAGGTAGATTGCAGTAGGCTTATCTCTGACTCTCTAGAAAGTCTGGGAGCCTAGCAAAAAAAAAAAAAGTTATATATTTATCTAGAGCTCAGAAAGTGAGGAGAATCTTTGAAGGCTATAGGGAAGTGCCTTCCTTACAGTGAAATCAGAATGAAACCTAGAACCTGAGCCTGAATGGAAAGTTAGGAAACATTTTCTAGATAGGACTGTGTATAAATCTTGCCAGACTTAGAACCCTGTTTTAGGCATGGGTCCAAGGAGTTTAATTCAGCATCTAGCATATAAGTGTACGCAGACTTTATTCTCCAGGCCAGAACTAAGGGGACTTGACCCCCAGAAACTGGGACAGAGTACTGTGTGAACAAAAAGGCTCTATTCCACCTAACAAAGAGGAGGTGAATCCTAGTTGTAGCCATCATGAAGAGTCTATGTATCCATTAAATTGAAATATAAATGTCACAAACATGTTACAAACATGCCCTGGGTGTCAGCTTGTACAAAGCACTATAATCTCCATTTTGTTTCTTTATGAAGCCATTAAATAAAATTAGAGAGTCTGTGAACTTAACGATTGGAAGCTACAAGTCCTCTGAGAGCTCTGGTGATTGTATCTTGCTCCTCCAGGAAGAAAAGGTCCAAAGAAAAAAAAAAGAGATGCTGAGAAAGGCAGGCTGCATACCTTGGGCCTATGAGAAGCGGAAATTAGGCACGCGAGGCCCATCTAGCTGGGGCTGTAAAGGGCCCAGGGTCTCCATAGAGGTTCAGAGAGAGAGGGTTGAGCAATGTTCCCATGAACAGGACAGACTCAGTTTCACACCATAACTTAAACAAAACTCAACGAAGAATATGACAAACAGATAAATGCTCCTTCACTAAACATTATACACACACACACACACACACACACACACACACACACACACATACCAGGGGAGCCAAAAACATGTATACACATTTTAAGACAGGAAAAACTGTACGAAAATTGTAATACGATACACGGATAACACAAGATGAATACAAGTCATGTGTATCCATGTTTTTGGCACCCCTGGACTATACTGGATAAAAATGAAACAAAGCAGCCCCAATTTTAAATGGACTGGCTTTTGACAGAGGAATTGGAAGAACCTTTGATATGTGGCTCCTGTAACAAGGTGTTGGCGGGGGACCTGCCTGTTTAAACGGGGCAGGGATGAGAATGAAGAGCAAAACAGAAGGTTTTACTAGAACTAAAGGTGACAGCAGGATGATTTTCTGTGGGCTGCAGGGCTTTGGGGGCAGCTCGGAGGACATTAAGTGTCCACGGATGAGACAGCTAGAAATGACCTGGAAATAGGGGGCAGCCACTTAGAATTTGCTGCTGCAGGGATTTAAAAAAATGGTCTTGATAGAGAGGTCGAGGGAAGAGTCCAGTTGGAGGAGAGGATAGAATTACTGGGGGCAGGTGAGTTTAGCTGTGCAGAAAAGGATTTTGTCCTGGAAAGCAAGGCAGGCCGATGGCCAAAAAGAAGGGGGCAGATTCAAAGCTTGCAACTGAATGGATGTTGCCACCAGACTTTACAAATACATCTGGAATTTTGCAGAGTCTGAAGCGGCCTTTTGGTGGAGATGTGCTGGGCTAGTTTGTGAAATAAGGCTCAGCACCCACAACCCATTCCTCAAAGTACGCTTGCTGCCTGCCCGCTCCCCACTGCGTGGTGTGTCTCCCCCACACCTCCCGTCTCCCCTTCCTCTCCAGCCCTTGCTCAGCTTTTCTTACAAGAGAAAGAAAGTGTAGGGACTTTGGTTACCCACGTCATCTGAACGGTAGTCTTCACACCTATGAAGTCATGGGAAAAGAGAAAAATTAACTCCCCCATTGACAGACAACCTTTAGCAAAATGGAGAACAATTTCCACGAACTGCAAGGTTGGCCCAAATGAGAAATCCATCTCCCCTGCTATGCCACATGAGGGAATGTGAGTTGAAAGGCCCTTTCCCTACCTCCCATCCCCCACCCCCAACTCCCCACACCCACCGCCTGCATTGAGGAACACCACTGGAGCTCTTTAGCAATAAGACATGTAGCTACAGACTTTTTTGAGGCTCTCAGGATTCATGTTACCCCTTCCATCTCCTGCAGATTGATACTTAACTTTTCAACATTGATAGGAATTCTTCATCTCTCAGAGAAAGATAAGGAGACACAAGTGTTGAGTACATGGAACGGAAGAAGTGCTGTGACATAAGGTTGGGAATGGTCTGCGATCGGTTCACTGTAGCAGGACAGATGCCTACGAGAAGTCCTTCAGAGGAGCGGGTAGTTAGGGGGTGTAATATATATACACAGAAGGTGCCCAAAAATGTATACACATTTTAAGAAAGAAAAACTGTATTAAAATTGTAATACTCAATATATACTGATAACAAAAGATAAATACAAGTCACGTTTGACTCTGCAATTACAAGAGGTGCTCAAAGTGGTTCCCATCAGCATCTAGACCAGGGGTTCTCAACCTGTGGGTTGCGACCCCTTTGGGGGTCAAACGACCCTTTCACAGGGGTCGCCTAAGACCATCGGAAAACAAAAAGATATTTACATTATGATTCATAGCAGTAGCAAAATTACAGTTATAGAGTAGAAATGAAAATAATTTTATGGTTGGGGGTCACCACAACATGAGGAACTGTATTAAGGGGTCGTGGCCTTAGGAAGGTTGAGAATCGCTATCTAGACACTTCTGATGACGGCAAACTACTGCTTGAGCAACATTGACCAAACTGTCCATTAGATACATTTTTTGGCACCCCCAGTACATACATACATACATACATATATATATATATATATATATATATATATATATATATATATTTGTTATATCGCATGCCGGGCAGTACGGTTAGGGTAAGATTCAATTTGTGTCTAGCGGAGTCACTGCTATTCAATGCTGGGATTTGGGGTAGGGCGATTGGCATGGAACTGACAGCGGCCCAAGTTCTTGGAAGAGATTTTTAGTCAGTGCCCTGGTGGATGGTGAGTGGTGTTCAAAGAGCCCCACTTGACACTAATTCTGGAAGGAGGGAGCTTTGGGTAAGCATGAGTCACAGGAGGAAAGGACCAAGAAAATTCTACTGCCGAAGCAATGAATGACATGTGGTCTAGTGCCAGAACCAGAAAAAGAAAAAAAATTGAGGAACAGTTTGACTTACCCAGTAAAACACAAGAAAGCCTGGGGTAGGAAATCCTCACCCTTTTCCTTTACTCTCACACACTAGGGGAAAGAGCAATGCAAAAACAAAACCAAAAAAAATGCATTTTGGTTTTGGTGCCATTATTTTTTTGTTTGGCTTTTTCTTTTCAGCTTGTCAACTTACTTCTCCCTTTTCTGTCTCTACTCACATCAGCCTATTTCTTCACAGGGAAATAATATGAATTCCCCAGCAATAGCCTTTCCATATGTCTGCAAGTACATACATTCTTATGCAAATAAAATAGTATGATCTCTATGGGTGCACATAGAGGGTGTGAGGATGTGTGTGTGTGTGTGTGTGTGTGTGTGTGTGTTTGTGATTACTTGTTTTTCCAACATGGGCTATACTTCCTACTCAGCAATTCTTCATGGAAATTCATCCAAGTCATTTGATATGGCTCTAATTTTCTTTTCTTTTTAGTAGTTGCATTACAGTTCATGGGTGTACTGACCTTGAATGTTTTTCCTTTTCTTTCTTTCTTTTTCTTTTTTTTGCCACTATGAAGAGTGCCATAGCAAACATCCTAATATATTATGTCCTACATACTGCCCCAAAGGAGGAGGCTTTTATTTCTTGGAGTGGATTCCTAAGAATGGGACTGCTGAATGGAAGAACACACGCATTTTTTAATTTAAAATATACTATCAGATTGCTTTTCTAAAATGCAAAAGGTCTTCACGTTTTATGACCTACATATGAATATACCCTTTCAGCACATTGTTGCCATCAATAGGTGATAAGGCTTTTTTTTTTTAATTTTGCTAGATTGATGACTATAAAGTGATGCTTCACCATTTCATTATGTTCCCTTTCCTGCCACCAAGTGACTCTGACCATCTCTATCTGCCGGCGGGTCACCTGGACCGGTTCCTCTGCTATCTTCTCATAGCCCATGCCCATTCTGGTTGGCTCCATCTTGACGGTGTGTAAGAGCCCTTGGTATGTATTAGCTATCAACCCTTTTTCTCTTTTACCTGTATTATAAAACAAAGCTTTGTTTTAGAACAAGAGGCAGGCGATAAAAGGATCGGAAACCCATTCAACAATGAAAATGCTCAAAACATTCCTCTCTTGGGAAGATTCGCATTTTAATTGGCATCAGGCCTGAAAAGAAGGGAGGTCTTAGAGATCTTTCTAATCATCAAGGAAAGGGTCTATGAATCAGACCTCCCTGATGGCTCCATTTGCGCTTCTCTGCAGACCGTTAATCTGTATGCACTCTGGTACCTGGATCCTGACAATGCTGGAAAGCTGACTTGGTGTTACGCTCAGCCTCACAGTGGAGAAGAGGCAAGAGCCAAAGACGCGAGGGAAGCAGCTTGTGGTGATGACCTTAGTGGACCTTTTGGGTTGTTATGTTCCGATTTTTAAAATTGTGGTAAAATATATACAACGTAAAAATTTTAAGTGCATCGTTTAATTCTGTGGTATTAAGTACATTAATATGGTTGGGCAGCCATGCCAGCCTCCACCTTCAGAACTCTGTCATGGTTCCATCCTTCAACTCTGCACCATAAAGAGTAGCTCCCATGTTCTCCTCCTGGTCCCCTGCAACCCCCATTCTCCTTTCTGTCCCGATCCACCTGACTACTCTAGGGACCTCACATACGTGGAGTCATGTGGCATGGCTTCTGTCACTGGCTTATTTCACTCAGTAGAATGTCCTCCAAGTTTATCCATGTTGGAACATAGGCCAGGATTCCCCTCCTTATAAGGCCAAATGATATCCCATTGTACGTAGAGACCACATTTTGTTCATCCATTCATTCATTGATGGGCCCTTGGGCTGCTTCCACATTTTAGCTGCTGTGAATGATGCTGCCATGAATCTGGGTATGCAAATATCTCTTCAAAACCCTGTTCAATTTGTTTGCGTTTATGCCTAGAAGTAGAACTGCTGGGTAATATGGTCATTCTAGTTTTGTTTTGTTTTTTTGAGGAACTGCCATGTTTTCTACAGTGGCTATACCATCTGACATTCCTACCAAGAGTGCACAAGGGTTCCAATTTCTCCACACCCTCACCTACAATTATTATTTTCCGGGTGTTTTTTTTTGGGTGGGGGGGTGGGGGGGGTAGTATCCCTTCTAATAAATGTGAGTTAGAATCCTATTGGTGTTTTGATGTGCATCTCCCTAATGATTAGGGATGCTAAGCATCTTTTCATGTACTTTTTGGCCATTTGTATATCTTCTTCAGAAGGATATTTTGTTTTGAGGTTGCCTGAGGCTTAGTCCCACAAAGGGAGCTGATATTCAGTCCTTCTAGACCAGGGGTCGGCAAACTTTTTACATGGAAGCACCAATCCTGCACCTCACAATTTAAAAATTATTCGAGAGGCATAAAACAAATGAAATCACCATTATGTGAATAATATCCTTTATGAATTTTATAAATGAAACTATGATAGTTTTATTTTCATTTTCAATTTTACTTCAGAGCAGCATGTATGTACCCGAAGAGCTGCATGTGGCTCGCGAGCCACAGTTTGCCGACCCCTGGTCTAGACTCATGGGAAACAAATTCTCCATAGTCCTAGAGGACCCAGACTATCTGACAGAAGAGTAGTGATCTTTGCCTGCACAATTCAGAGGCATGGAGGGACCCTCACATGGTACAGCTAGCACTCTCCCACCTACCCTCCCAATGAAAAAGACAACAACAAGGACAGATGTCACTGGGCCATTGCCATACCACATGGCCATAGAACCCCACTGTGGGTACCAGTGTGGACCCCATCACTTACTACTGGTATGAACTTGGACACCTTAACTCACCCTATAGGATGGATCTCGACTTGCTTTTCTCTAAGATTAGGAAAAATGCCCCCCAGACCTAGTTGTTCATAGAATCGAGTGTTGCATGTATAGGAAGTTGCTTTGAAATGTCTTTAAGCCATTATAGATATGTTATTGCTTCAGCCACGTATCAAAGAGGGGCTGATTTCACTCTGTGAGTTGGTGAACCTAAAGGGTACAGTCGGCCCTCTGTATTCATGCATTCCACATGTGAGGATTCAACCAACCATGGATGGAGAATATTTCGGAAAAAAAAGCGAGGCTGTTGCTGACATGTAGAATGTAGTTAGTGGCCAGGGAATGCATGAGGGTCAGCTTTTTGTAGAGGAAGACAGAGGTCTTGGGGGTGGCGGATGAGCAGGCAGGACCCACACCAGACCCACTAAATAGCACCCAGGATGTTCTCACTGCCTCCTCCTCAAGGCAGCCAGGTGCTTTTGAACCCAGAAACATTATTTTTGCCACATCATTATTTTTAAAAAGTTTGGAAAATGTAAGTAATAGAAATTAAATCTGTTGGTAGGCAAAGTGCGTTATGAATCATGGCAGTTTTCTGAAGAATCTGAGCCAAGAGGATATTTTGGTTTTGAACACGTAATAGAATGCAGCCAAAATGGCTTCCAGGTTTGAACTTCCAAAAAATAGTGTCAGTTCACTATGTTACTTGGCTGACGTAGATAGGGCAATCCCCACTCCTAGGAGGAAGACATCTCTAGGAAAAATAAAAGTTAGTATATTTTACCTCTGGAGGCCATGGGAGGAAGAAAGACAAAATAGGGATCATTGCAACATTGTAATTTGTTAGTAATAAAAAACAACAACAACAACAACCCTGTTTCTATGTTCTATAAATTCTTTTCCAGCTGCATAAACTGCACTAGAGGCGAGGACAGTCTCCACAAGAGAAAAAAAAACCAGAATAGAACTGGGGAGTACTTTAATGACAAAACGGTCGTAAACCAGTGCATTGGAATTTCATCAATATGACATCATTCCCAGTTTGACATGGGAGAGCCCACCCTCCATTTCCCCTCCCATCTCTCCCTCGTCCTCGCCTCCTTTCCTCTTAAAGAGATGATGAAGCTGCCCGGGCAGCACAGAAGGATAATAAAAACCTGTATCCCTTAAGCTGAATTCAGCCCATTGAACTGCACAAACAGCAATAACGAAAACAAAGCTAGCAGGAAACGTTTGCACATAGCATCTGTTACGATCACATAACCACGAGACAGCTGTTTAATCCCAACTGTTAACATAAGATCATTTGTGTGTTTGAAGAGCATTCCCATTTGGATCTCCCCCTTTATTTATTTATTTTCTAGCTTTTCCAAGAGCGAGGCTGTCTCAGCTGGAGGATGCAATGGGTGTTTCTGGATTTTTCCACTTTCGCCCTCATCAGCTTCCGAACGAGAGAGGTGGTGTGGTTTTCTATAACTATAAATACTCCGAGGGGAAAGAGGACGGCTGTGTGGTCTCCGCGCTGAGCAGGGCACGGCCCTTTCTCGGCCTTTGGGGACCTGCTTTTGGCTCCCCGGAACATTCACAAGCCATGCTGGTCAGATGATGGGAACTGGGCCTCACATGCAACACATCTGGTGGTCTCAGCCAGATCCTGGTGAGGCTTGAGTTTTCTCAGCACCACCCAGAATTGGACCCAATCCCTGTCAAGTTCAGTTCCAAAAACCTAAAACAGAGTCATCAGGCTTCCAATTGCCTGTAAGGGTCAAGGAAGAATGTCAGCAGTTTGGGTGGCCTGTCTGAGTGGCCACTTTGGAGGCCTAAGCAGGATACCTAGATGGCTTATGATGGTCCTACTTTTTCTCTTTCTTTTTTTGTGTGTTTACATCATACCTCACTGCCTACAGGCTCCCCCAATGCTCAATGGAGAATATGCATGTTTCACCATTGAACTGCAGCCAACATGTCACAGAAGTGGTGGATGCCAGGGGCAAGCATTGCAGAGCTGACCACGTGGTCCCGGGGTGAGGGGAGTTGGCTATGCGAATTTGGACAGGCATGAACCTTGAAAGCTGCCTGAAATTAGCATTACATAAATCTTTCCTCACCTCCTTCTTTAAATAGTTCATCCCAGTGAATCCTCCATTTTGATCCCGACATGATAATAACATGTGTAACACTAAGTTTATCTTCCAGGACAGTTGAAAGCCAGAGTCCTTCTAAAATTTTTGGTTAAACGTCTTAAACCTGATTCTTAGGACAAGTTCATGTCTGGGTCATGTGAACCTTGGGAATGTAAGGGACTTTTTACTTTTTTTCATTTTCTTTTCTTTCTTTCTTTCTTTCTTTCTTTCTTTCTTTCTTTCTTTCTTTTTCTTTCTTTCTTTCTCTCAAATGGTTGATGTTTAATTTTTCAGCTTTTTTTGGAGTCTAATTGATACATAAAAATTGCATATATTTAAGGTGTACAACCTGATGTTTTGATAGTTACATTTGGACATGATCACTACAATCAAACTAGTAATTAAAATTTTTGGTTTTAACTTTTGAAAAATATAAGTTATTTAAGAATCATTTCTATCTCTTTGACATGAAAAAAATATCACAATGATTTTTGAATGCCTCCGAATTTCTCCTGAATAAAAACAGCCTTTCTTATTCTCTCCTGTGGCTTCACATCCTCACAATCATTGCTTTATTCTCCATCCCTGTCCCCCCAGTGAAAAAAGTTGTGAGACTTCTAAAGACATCAGTTTTTTGAGATTTAGGAAGAAAAATGAAAGTAGTGAGGGTAGCAGTCAAAAGATATTGACTATCAATGTTGGAATACATTAAATGCCTAGATCAGTCTATGGTGTAGTTTATTATCATACTTAGATAAAGTGCTATTACCTTTTGCTTGACATTATCACACGCAAAAGTTTGCATCTCACAGTGGTGGGTGGGGGGAAGCTCCTGTGGAAGCTACAGATTATGAACATCCATCTTAATGCTCAACTTCCCCTACATGGGACAAAATCACCAACATCTTAATGGGAGCAAATCCTTTATCAACTGATTCATTTCCATGTTTTGTTTCTGCAGCTAGACGGGATATCCTGTAAGGTGGTGAAAAGGGAGGGAAATTTAGTACTATCCGTTTCTGCTTTGCCATTATTGTTATTGTTATTTCTACTTTCAAGATGATAGTCTATTCACCTCCTGATTTTCATATAGGACACCTATTTTGGGTGGTTTTCCTTTCTTCTCTCCCTCCCCCATTCTACCCTCATGAAAAAAATCACCCTTGGTAAGGATGTGGAAGAGTGAAATTGTGCCATTTATTATGTGCTACTTTTCCTAAGGCTACATGATGACGTTGTTATTATGTACCCTACGTTACTGAATACAATTCCTGGTTTATTTTATTTGTTTGATTTTAAGTATGGGAACAGTTGCAGACGTAGTTTTGATTGATTTTACAAGAGGAACTACCCAAGTGGAGACAGAAATTTCACTGT